GCCTCAAGTAGCTGGGACTACAGCACAAGCCACCATGCCGGCTGATTTTATATATATATATATAGTGGCCAATTAATTTTTTCTATTTTTATGGTAGAGACGGGTCTCGCTCAGGCTGGTTTTGAACTCCTGACCTTGAGCAATCCGCCCGCCCTCGGCCTCCTAGAGTGCTAGGATTACAGGCGTGAGCCACCGCGCCCGGCCTGATCACCACATTTTGTTTACCCATTCATCAGTTGAACATTTGGGATGTTTCCATTTTGACTGTTATGAATAATCTCCTGTGACTATGTATAAGTCTTTGTGTAACATGTACTTTCAATTCTCTCAGTCATAAAACTAGAGTGGAATTGCTGAGTGTTACATGGTAACTCTTAACATTTTGAGTACTGCCAAACTGTTTTCCACAATGACTGCACCATTTATATCCACCAGCAATGTGTGAGGGGTCAAGTTTCTTCACATCCTGGCCAACCCTTGTTATTGTCTGTGTTTTGATTAAGCCATCCTAGTGGGTGTGAAAGCAGAAACCTCATTGTGTTTTCATTTGCACACTTGACCCTCTGATCTGGGATTCTGCATCCATGAATTCAGCCAACTGTGATGAAAATTGGGAGGAAAACAAACAAAAACAATAAAAACAATATGCAATAATAAAAATAATACAAATAAAAAAGCAATACATATAATAACTATTTACATAATATTTGCATTGTATTGGATATTATAAGTAATCTAGAGATGATTAAAGTATTTGGGAGGTAGTGTATGTTTTATGCAAATACTATGCCATTTAATCAGGATTTGATCATCCTTAGATTTGGATATTTGTGTGGGGTCTTAGAACCAATAATCCCTCATGGATAAGGAGGGACAAATATTGTTATTTCCCCAAAAATAATAATGTTGAACATCTTTTCCTGGGCTTCTTGGACATTTGTAGTCATCTTTGATCTCTTGAGGCAGGAGGATCGCTTGAGCCCAGGAGTTTGAGGTTGCTGTGAGCTAGGCTGACGCCACGGCACTCACTCTAGCCTAGGCAAGAAAGCGAGACTCTGTCTCAAAAAAAAAAAACAAAAAAAACAAAATGTGGTGATCTATACGTTGGAATATTATTCAGCCATGAAAAGGAATGAAGTACTGGTAAATGCTATGATATGGATGAATCTTGAAACATTATGCTAAGTAAAAGAAGGCAGCCACAAAGGACCAACATGTTGTCCAGAATACATAAATCCAGAGAGAAAAAATGGATGAGTGGTTGCCCTTTGGGAAGTGGGGGAGCGAGGGAATGGAATTAACTGTCAATGGATACACGGTTTAAGGGCACAAAAATTTTCTAAAATTAGATTGTGGTGATGGTTGAATATATTTAGAACACTGAATTGCATATTTCATTTTACTTAATTTTTTAGAAACAGGGTCTCGCTTTGTCACCCAGGCTGGAGCACAGTGGTACAATCATAGCCAAATGCAGCACTAAACTCCTAGGCCCAAGCAATCCTCCCACTTTAGCCTGCCAAGTAGCTGGGACTATCTACCACACTCAGTTAAGTTATTTTATTTTTTCAGAGATGGGGGTCTCACTATGTTGCCAAGGGTGGTCTCCAATTCCTTCTGGCCTCAAGCTATCCTCTCAAGTGCCAGCCTCTGCACCAGTTATATCTCAGTAAAGCTGTGTTTTTTTTTAAAGAAGAGTAAAGAACATTAAAGAGTTATTAAGTTCAATGATTCCTAAGCCAAATTGTCCAGGACACGTAAACAACTAAATTCTCAGCAAAGCATGGTAGTGTATGTCTCTACAAAAAATAAAAAATTAACTAGCCATGTGCAGCGGTATACACCTGTATCCCAGCTACTTGGGAAGCTGAGGCAGGAGGATCACTTGAGCCCAGGAGTTTGCTTTGATGACAGCGACCTATAATCATGCTACCGAACTCCAGCCTGAAGTTTTTTCTCTTAAGAGAGAAAAAAAAATCCAAAAGCTGGTTTTCTGGTAGGAAAAAAACAAAACAGATAAACTCCTAGCTAATGTAATCAAGAAGAGAAAGAAGGGGAAGTACAAATATGGCACTATTCATAATGGCAAAAGACTAGAAAGTTTGAAATGGTTAAATATAGGATATTCATAAAAAGAAACACTGTGGCTTTAAAAGAAAGAACAAGGGAAATCTTTATGTATTGAAATGAAAAGATACATATAATAAGTTGCCCATTGTATAAAAAAACAGGAAATAAGAATCTATAATTATATTCTCCTGTATGCACAAAAGAAACCAGTAGAACACATAAGAATTAAGACAGTGGTTTCCTATTGAAAGGAGTGCAAACTGGGTAGTGAGACAAGAATAGGAAGGATACTTTTCATCATACAGTATTTTATACTTCTGGGTTTTAAGCCATGGGAATGCATTATTTACTATTTAAAATTGCATATGACCAATCTTAATTCACCAGATATTTTTAAGCATGTACTGTGTACCAAACACTATCACTGGTGTTGGAGATGTACAAAATGAAAAGATCTAGTCCTCTCTCCTAAAGGGCTGATAGTTCAGAGACAGTCTGGCAGGTATACAGTCAGCAAACCAACAATGGGAATATAATGTGCCTAATTCTTCAGACAAAGACCTGTTGAAAGCCCTATAAAAGAGCACCTGTATCTACACAACGAAAGTAAGGTTGATCAGAGAAGACAGCTCTTGTGCCAAGACTTAAAGGCTAAGTCCAAGATTTCCAGTGGAAAAACATCCCAGATAAAGCAGAAAGCAGAGGCAAAGGCATGGGAGTAGAGAGAGCAAAGGGTAGAAATCATTACAGATCAAGATTCTGTAAGAAGAAGAGTAGCTAGAATTAAGACTGAAGAATTGAAAATGGGCTAAGAAAGAGTATTATATGCCATGTTAAATAATTTTATCACCATCTACATGTTGGGCTTTGTGCTAAGTGCTGGGGATAAAGAAGTAAGCATGGACTCCTTCCTGCAGCTTAGTCTATAGGACAATGTCAGGCAGTCCAAGAAAGATGTTTTTGCAACAGTTTGCTGCCATGACCTTTCCTGTCTCTGTCTCTCCGCACTATTGCCTCTGTCAGAAATGCTTTCTCTATCCCTGTCCTCACCCATCCCTGTCCAGCCAATTCCTTTCTTAGGACTTGGATTAAATGACCCCTGTTCAGGAAGCCTTCTTTGACTCCCTAGACTAAATCAATCAGTTCCACTTGCTCTATGCTTCAAAGCGCGCTGTGCTTCTTTGGTAACTGAGCTTAGAATTATTCATCCATCTTCCTCTCCAAAACATAAACTATATGAATACAAGTAAGTCAATCTTCATCACCATTGTACTGTATCTCCAGCACTGATCACAGTATATAGAAGACCTTTAATGAATTATTTAATGAATGAATAAATTCTAGAATATAATTTAATTTTTCCTGATCAGGCTGATTATAACAAAGTTAAATAGTTATATTCATATAATTCAAGTGGAGTCTATTTTTCATGGCTCATTCGCTATGCATTTTAAGTGACTTGTATCTTTTTTAAATACTTTTTTTCTCTTCTTAAACCATAAACGGTCACTTTCTACTACTTTCAAGCCTGTTTCCAGCAGATTCCAACTACTACTAATTTGCATGCAGTTTTCTGTCTCCTGAGCTAAGCGGATAAATTCAATTATAAAGGATACAACCGACAGAAGACCAAATAATAGCATGCAATGTTTGAGGACCTTTTTGTTTTTTTTCAAAGATGGCAGAGGAATGGGCATACACAAAGAAAAGATGCCCGTTTATAAGTAAACTACTTAAACATCACTGCATGGTTTCTTTTGTTAACCAAACTTTTATTTTTAATTATTTGTTTGTTTGTTTATCTATTTTTACTTTTTTGCCTTCCAGAGTGCTAGGATTCACTACTAAATAAACAGAAATGGATCTCCTCCAGGATCCTAAGGTCAACATTCTATGAGTAGTGCTGAAATATTCAGGTGAAGTAGGGCTTTTTAATTTAGTGTAATATGAAGCATCAGAATTCTCTAAAAGCATTATGCAACTGAATATGTATTTTGAATTACCAGCAACATAATCACTAATGTGACTTCCAATTCTACTCAGTGAATCTCTAGGTGGGCTACTTCATCTTTAAACTATCATAATTACCTAAATAATTTGAAAATTTTCATTTAAACACAACTATGAGAATTAGATAGATACACTAAATTAATCTGATCTTTACACAAAATAAAAACTCTCCAAAACACTTATATACCATTTATTTTTTTCTCTTCAGAGGCAAAAACCAACTGCTTCTAGCAATTATTATTATTCTTAAGTTATTCTTAAATATTTTCTCTTAAAATATAGGTATCAGAAAAAACATTTCCATTAGAGCTAACAATGCACAAAAACCAATGAGAAACAAGTTCTAGAAAATACGCTAATAACAATGGTAGTGCCTATTAGTGACTAAAATCAAGAAAAGTAATATTTTTAAACAAATAAATAAGAATTTTAAGCTTACAACCATCACTACAGAGTGAAAACATTAACAAATTTCTTTAATACCTACCTTTGTCGAGGAACTATAAAGAGTGCCCGGACCAACTTCTTCCTGTTTGCCTTTGTGTTCATGTTCATGCAAAAATCCATTGCTGCCTATTGGGAAAAAGCAAACTTTTTCTTTAAAAACTTTGATTTAGCTACTGAAAGCAGACATCTTGCCTACTACAATATTTTCACTTGTTCTTAAACAACACTTCAAAATGGTTTTAAGACACCAGTATTATAAGCATTTCCTAAACTAAAAAGATCACTAAGCTTAATGTCCTCTCTCCTTATGTATCCAAAAATATGTGCCTCAAACTTTTTAAATGCAACCTAGTGCTGGGAACAGAACTTTAAGTGGGTAGCTTAAAGACCTACTCTGAGATGTTTGGCAAATAACTATATGGAAAGTACTATCAATGCCTTTGGGCTCATCAAAGACAAGTAAACAAGCCAGGCATGCTGGCTCACACCGGTACACCTGTAATCCTAGCACTCTGGGAGGCCAAAAGAGGAGGATAGCTTGAGGTCAGGACTTAGAGACCAGTTTGAGCAAGAGCGAGATTCCCCTGTTTTCCCAAAATAGAAAAACTAGCCAGGCATTGTAGTGCATGCCTATAGTCTCAGCTACTTAGGAGGCTGAGGCAGGAGGATTGCTTGAGCCCAGGAATTTGATATTGCTGTGAGCTACGATGATGCCACTGCACTCTACCCAGGGTGAAGGAGAGTCTGTCTCAAAAAATTAAAAAATAAAATAAAAGAACGACAAGTAAATCAATGTTAACATCAGGAAAGTTTTCTGATAGAACTATAAAGTAGCAAGAACAAATCAAAAGCCAAAAAAATTACTAATGCTAAGAAGGATAACCAAACAGCTTAAAGATGAACTAAGAAAGAGAGAGAGGCACAAATTATTCCCAGGGAAACATAAGAATAAGAAATGCTCCCACATTCACGAAAGAGGCTTAGTGTCAACAATCAGATTTGATAATGTTGGGGCTTCGAAAACTACCCCAAAATACAGTGCTTTGATGTGCTGAGTACTTTGAACTAAAGGAAACTAGGAGACCTTAGAAGCTGCCTTGGAATCAAGATCTCTGATCTTCCCGTTTCTCTCTCCAAGCACAGAGAAAGGCGCTCTCTCCCCAAAGTTCCCTTATCTGGGGGAAATTCTTTCCAAAAGAAACACAACTGCCTTCAATCCTGTCTGAAATCTCATTAACCAGGAAGATTTATCTAAGTCACCACAACCCCACAGACAGACTTTTCAACTATTCTTTTGAGGGTTATCACTCGAGGGACATTATCTGCATAGTAAGACAGCCTTTATCAACATGCATTTCCACCCTCACCTTTCTATAACCATGGCCACCTCCCCCAGCACACAAAGGAACTTTGTCCTAGACTATGTACTGTCTATTCTTTGGGCTCATTCATCTCCCATAAAAATCATTTACTCTTTCTCTAAAATTGCCTACATCCCCCATCTCCCTCTCCTCGATGAAGAAGGTATTTAAGCTTCAATGATCTGGCCCTTCTTTGAATTTCATATTTGTGTGACTCCCAGGCACTTGCACATTAAAAAACGGGTATGCCTTTTTTCCTGTTAATCTATTGTCAGATTATTTCAGCAGATTTAATTATTGAATCTTCAAAGGGTAGAGAAATTCCCTTTACCCCAACAGTAACTTACACTAAAGAAACTGCATCATGGGACTATAATGAATACCTGCAATTGTTACTTAGTGTACCAATTCACCACTGTATATTTCAAGAACAAAAATGTGTCCAATATTTCATCAATATGTCTGACATTTAATGTAAATATAAAAGACAAGGTGTATGTTCTGGGAATTCCTTGAAAAACAAAAATAATTGGTATTTTTAAAAGACAGGTATATATATAGAAAATGTTGAAAGATTTTTGGTACACTTGGTTAAAAAACAACAAATAAGAGCCAGTAACAAGGGCCACCATGCATTTGAATGGACACTCTAAGTGGCCTAATTTCAAAAGATTGTACACATATTTTCAGTTGATTTCAAAATAACAATGTATAATAGCCACAAATATGTCTTTGATAAAATTTAAGAAAAGATTAGAATATCTGGCACCATTAAGTAAAATTTAGGTTTTTCTTCTTTGTAAACACTGAAATAAAACATTTTTGATTAGGACAAGAACTAATTCATCTCAGATTTTTGGCTTAAGGAATTAAAATCTAAAAAAATATAGGCCCTTAACCAAATTATCTGCCCTTATATTAAATAAGTAAAGGGGGCAAATGGGAATTAAAACCCAATCAATCGGCTGGGCATGGTGGCTCACGCCTGTAACCCTAGCACCCTGGGAGGCCAAGGCGGGCGGATTGCTCGAGGTCAGGAGTTCAAAACCAGCCTGAGCAAGAGCAAAACCCCATCTCTACTATAAATAGAAAAAAATTAATTGGCCAACTAATATATATAGATAAAATTAGCCAGGCATGCTGGCGCATGCCTGTAGTCCCAGCTACTCAGGAGGATGAGGCAGAAGGATTGCTTGAGCCCAGGAGTCTGAGGTTGCTGTGAGCTAGGCTGATGCCACGGCACTCACTCTAGCCTGGGCAACAAAGCGAGACTCTTATCAGAGCAGTGAGGAGTGGAAAATTCTTTCTGGTTTCTGATATCCCTAGCTGGCTATGATTTAAGCCTGGGATAGGCCGCTAGCCCGCTTAAACCTCTCCTTATATTACAAAGACAAAGAGAACCTGAACAGGAAACATGATGAAGCCAACAGAGAAAAAATAATAATCACAAAGGTATCCATGTAATAAAAATCCTAACAAAGAACTCGGGTAGAAAGGTTATTTAGAGGATAAATGTAATTTTTTACTTCACTAAATTACCAAACCAGCTCAATTATAAAGGACATGAATTACAGACAACGTGATTAGGCTAGTTCTAACTTTACCCTCAACCCGGGTGTGTTAGGAGTACACCTGTTCAATACATTTTTGTTAAATTCTGTGAAAGGTATTCATAGAATTAAAAATAATGAGACAATGCTAACAGTTGTCAGAAAAGTGTGCAGAATATCTTTTAATTGATTTCGAATTAAGTTCTTTAGAATTTTTTAGATGGTCACTAAGCTAGTGTAGCCCACATAATACAGAGTATGTTAGTATCTTGTTCTGGAATTCAAATTTTAATAAAGTGACAGCCTGAAACTCAAAAAACAAGAATTAGAAAATAGATAATGTAAATGAAAAGAACACAGTATTTCTTGGGCAGAGATAAACATAAAACTAACCAAGAACATGAAAAAGAAAAAAATTTTTTGAAAAGTGCGGCTAGGCAGGCCAGGTTGCGGGTGGCTCGCGCCTGGTGGCCTAGGACTCTTGGGCCCGGCACGGGCAGGCAGCCCCCCGCCCCAGCCCCCCCCCCGCGGGGGGTGCCTCCCCGCCCCCGCCCGCCTGGATGCGTGAGGTTCAGGAGGCCTTCAAAACCAACCTGGAGCCGGAGTGACCCCGGTTCTTTCTACGTTATATAGGAAAGAAAGTTAATTGGCCAACATGAAATATAATAGACAAATTAGCCCGGGTATGATGGCGATGCCTGGTAGTTCCCAGCTTACTTTGGGAGGTTGAGCAACAGGATTGTATTAGCCCGGAGCCTGGGTTGCCTGTGAGTTTTAGGCTGGATGCCATTAGGGCACTCACTCTCAGCCTGCCTCGCAACAAAGTGATACTCGTGTCTCAAAAAAAAAAAAAAAAGGTTGGTTAGCCATGATGCAGAATAAAGTAAATAATGGATTAAGAATCATAATAATAAAAAATGCGAAATAGTGAAACAGGCCCCTTTACTTGCCTCATCAAGAAGCTTTTCTTTTTGTAAGATCTTCAGGCTTTGCGTCTCCACCTTTTAGTTCTTAACGGGTGTCGTCATTAATTTCTAGATTCTCCAACTCAAGTTCCAAATCATCAGGACTTGGATACCTCTTATGTATCCTTAGGTTCTTTGCTCTGGTTTAAAAACAACAGAGTACATCTGGATTTTAGGTATATTGAAATCCTGCTGAAAAGTAGATAAGGATTCACGAAATCCGCATCACTTGTTTTTAAACCTGTATGCATTGCGCTGGCAACAAATTTGAGTGAAATTAATATATTCAGACTGTTATAAGTACATTATGAGAACTACCGACAATTCTTGACTCTGTATGCCATTTGTTCACTGAACAGATTGGATGGATGGAAGAACTTACATTGGCACAAGAGTGAGAAGAATAGTGATTAGGTAAAGTGATCAGATTAAGAAGCACCTCAAACTCCAGCGGGAATTCGACTTTCTTCTTTATGCTGGTCATGGCAAGACTTCATTTAATGTGATTTGTTGAAAATTAAGCTAGCGCAATATGTAAGTACATTCAGACAGAAGGAGTACATATAGAATAGACAATGAAGAAAAAAAGTAACCTTATAATTTAGATGTCAGAGGTTTAAATCGTTTGTTCAACCAGATGTGGCAAAATGTTAATAATTGTTGAAAGCTGGAGGGTGATAGTGAGTTCATTTTACTATCTTCACCTTATATGTTTGAAATTTTCTTAATAAAAAGCAAACAATAAAACCGTAGTTCAAGATTTATGCTTAATTCAACTGATGGTATTTCTCAGCTTCACTTGTGTCTTGTCCCTAGTTTCCTGGCATCGATGCCATACCATATTTGGAGAATGAAAGCTCTACCCGTATTGGTTTCACCTGCCTCTAACGTGAAGAGGGTACAATTATCATCCCATTCATTTGCATTGACTAATGTTTTCCTGAATTCTATACATGCTAGGTACTGTTCTAAGAACAGGGATATGCAGTGACCATAGCAGACAAACCTGCCCACATGGGCATATTCTCACCCTGCAGTTTCCGCTGATGCCTATCAAAAAAGGCATTTTTCTGATTAGCTCACTGCACCATTAGACTATGTGAACTGCTGATATTCAGAAAGTTAATGATATCCTTGCTCTCAAGTAATTTAATTTATCTGAGAAATCAACAATATGCACGAGGGTTAAACTTGATATTGGTGGGGAGGTTCCAAGCAGAACACAGAACACATAGTGGCAAGGCCACTAGGCAAAGACTTCAAAGACTGAAATATGCTTTAACCCTTGCACTTTCATGTTAGAGTGTGGATAAAGCGTCGACGTGGATATATGAGAAAAGCAAGCGAGTCAAAGGGTTAATTTAATGATCTCAAAGCTTTTGATTTCTAGTTACGTAACTCTTCCTCACAAAGAGCTGGGCTATTATTAGCCTGGAAGGGACGTTACAGATAGATCACCACCATTACGCTACACCTTTCTCTGAATAATTCTCAATAGGAAAATTCAGTCTTACAGAACCTACATGATTATAAGGATATTATAATAATCACCTCAATTAATGTCACTTAACTTATACATAGAATCACTGTTAAAGGTATGCATTATCACCCTTTCGGATGTCCCATCCATATTATTCTGTCCTTCATGTTAATCTAAGACCCAATGTTCCACATTACAAAACAAGACTAAACTGTTTCATTAAAAATCCACTTTGAGCTCAGTTTTGTAGCACTATGTAATGGTTTTTTCCTCTAGAATTTACTTTGGATCATCTTGTTGGACTCTTTATTCTGACAATTTTTTCATTGTCTTTAAACAAGATGGCCGAACCGAAAGCGCTTCAAAATCACGAGGTTTCGTAAAATTCCGGATCTTCTTCTTCCATACCACCTTCAATCATATTCTCAGGTTACCAGTGTAAATATATTCGATTCCAGGCCTGCTCTACATAAATAATTAACATGTTAATTTAACACCATTAGATATCACATGCTAAACATGAAGTATAAAGATATTATTAGCTACTTGAATCTATGAGTTTTCCTGAAAAAACTGTTTATGTGGGTTATGCTTACTAGCATTTACTATATTAAAAATGGAAACAGAAAAATTTAAAAACAATAATTCCCTTTAAAATATCAATAAACCCATTAGATGTCAATGTTTTATGAAAAATACAGTTTTCAAAGGAAAAAAATTAGTGAAAGATGAATGGCAGACATTCTTTTACAAGATAGCTGGATTATCTTATCTATTTATCCATTCAATCTGCTGTGATATGTTATTTTGGATGAAGTATATGAAGAAAATCTGGCTTCACATATATATGTAGTTGGAAAAGGGAGGTATATTTTTAAAACCTTTTCAGTAATTGTAAATATTTTTATTTGATAGTACACCAAAACTTGACAAGTGGTAGTTTCTTAAGGGTTAGTAGTAATGTGGAATCTGAAACTGTATCAATAAACATTTTATGCTCTGTTAAAATTAAAATCCACTGGTCTACCTTGCACTTTGAGTGGATCTTTTAACAACCATGTATGATTTTTAACACCGTATACTGGTCACTTAGAATAATGGTTCACCGAGCCATGCAAATCTTCCAAATGTACACATAATATTTTTAAATCACATTATTTAGTATCACACCACTCTCACCATAAAAGTCTCATCAATAAAGTCTATTCAGAAAAGAACTGGGAAGCTGTCAGGCTTATGATGGTGAACATAAGTTTTCCAAAGTTCTAATTTTTATTGAAAACTCAAATTTGATCGTTAGTAATAAATACTTTTAGTTGTTTTCCTTGAAGTGATGGACTCACTTTTTTAATTTTAGAAAAATGTCTGCTAAACATCCATGGTTTGTCCATCAATTCTTCCAAGTAAAAATGCTATTCTATGAAAAAAAACAATTAGTTCAGCTTGCAACTCAATCACACAGGTGCTTTTCCTTGAGATAACCTTGAGACAGCTGAAGTCCTTTATATGTCCTTTCCATTTTGTCAGATTGAAAAAACATGTTCTCAAAGGTTGACATGTAATAAAAATCACTCATTTTTGTGGATACACAAAGGAAATTCTTTTTTTTTGAGGCAGAGTCTTGCTCTGTCACCCTGGCTAGAGTGCAGTGGCATCCTCATAGCTCACTGCAACCACAGACTCCTGGGCTCAAGCAAATCTCTTGCCTCAGCCTCCTGGGACTACAGGTGCATACCACCCCACCTAGCTAATTTTTCTATTTTTAGTAGACACAGGGTCTCACTCTTGCTCAGGCTGATCTCAAATTCTTGAGCTCAAGTGATCCTCCTGCCTCGGCCTCCCAGAGTGCTAGGACTATAGGCGTGGGCCTCGGCATCCGGCCCCACCAAGAAAATTCTTAAGTAAAAGTGGCATATTTAAAATTGCAAATGTATGGCAGTGAAGAATACAATGGTACTAGTATGGCTTGGTATCACTGCTTTGAGTCATGCTAAAATGCCAGCAGCTTTACCAACCATCCCTTGTACAACTGTCAAAAATGTGAAATAGGGGTGGGGGTGGGGAACCATAGTATTATTTTTTAAAGAGTTTTGACCTTATAGACCCCCTGAAAATGCCTCAAAGGCCGCCAGGAATACCCAGACCATTCTTTAAGAACCTCTCATCTAAAAAAATTGTGGGATCCATAAGTGAACAGGAAAGATACCAAGCCAACAGGATTCCGGAGCCAATCCCATCCCCAAACAGAGCATCTCCAAATTGGATCCAATTTTATCTGTATGTAAAGATTAGATTCACATATGAGACTCCATTTGAAAAAAATGGCTCAAATAGTCTGAAAACCACATACATTCCTAATTAAAGGACTCCTACAGGGTCTATGTGCTTGAGTAAAATTACACAGAGATAATGATACCTTGTCTATCAGATCTCGGTTGACACAGTTGGGCAACTGCTGGAGGAAAGCATCCACTATGAGCTTGAGATGAGATCCAGTGCTGGCTTCTTCATCCTCTTGTTCTAATATAAAATTAGTTTTAAATAGGTTAAAAAAACATACAGAGAACAAAATAAAAATTTCCAATTATAAGTTTTTAAAGAATAGATTATTTAGTGCTACTTTTGTCCTCATGAAAACATTAAGCATTTTTTAGGATATTACCCTAGAAAGTTCAGGTATCTGTAAAGTCACTATAGTCTTTCAGATATCAACTATAAAAAAGCCCAGCTTTTTGCATTAGATATAAAAATTTGATCAGAAAAAGCAGGTATATATTTCCTAGAAGACACAGAAAAGAAAAAGCATATAGTTTTATAGTAAATCTGTTATTTCTATTTACCTGGCATCCCTGCCCCCAGGTTCTTCAATTAATAGCACCCCCAATTCTCACCTTTGAAGAACCAAGCCTCCCCTGTCCCCTGTGATTCTGACGTGGTGGCTGCTGCCAATCATAGCACAGCATACCACCATTCCTCCTGGCCACATGGCTAAGCATGACACACGACCAGCCAAAGTCTTTATGTGATATATACAGACAGTGAGAGTGAAAATCTTTTCTTCTGATATCCCTAGCTGGTATGATTTAAGCCTGGGATAGCCGCTAGCCCTGCTTAAACCCTCCTTTCATTACAAAGACAAAGAGAACCTGCAACAAGAAACAATGAAGCCAACAGAGAAAAAAATAATAATCACAGAAGGTATCCATGTAATAAAGAATCCTAACAAAGAAACTCGGTAGAAAGTATTTAGAGAATAAATGTAATATTTTTATTACTAAATACCAAACAAGCCTCAATTATAAAGACATGAAATTAACAGACAACTGATAGGCTAGTTCTACTTTTACCCCTCAACCAGTTTAGAGTAACTTTCAAATACATTTTTGTTAAATCTGTAAAGATTGTATCATAGAATTAAAATAATGAAGACAATGCTAACAAGTTGTCAGAAAAGTGTAAGAAATATCTTTTAAGATATTCAGAATTAAGATTTTAGAATTTAGATGATCACTAAAGCTTGTAGCCACATAATACAGAGTATGTAGTATCTTGTTCTGAATCAAATTTTAATAAAGTGATAGCCTGAAAACTCAAAAAAACAAGGAATTAGAAAATAGAGAATTAAATAGAAAAGAACCATATTCTTGGGCAAGAGTAAACATAAAAACTAACCAAAAATGAAAAAAAGAAAAAAATTTTTAAAAGTGGTAGCAGGGCCAGGTGCGGTGGCTCACGCCTGTGAGCCTAGCACTCTGGGAGGCCACGGCAGGCAGGATGCTTGAGGTCAGGAGTTCAAAACCAACCTGAGCAAGAGTGAGACCCCGTCTCTACTATAAATAGAAAGAAATTAATTGGCCAACTAATATAAATAGAAAAAATTAGCCGGGTATGATGGCGCATGCCTGTAGTCCCAGCTACTTGGGAGGCTGAGGCAACAGGATTGTTTAAGCCCAGGAGGCTGAGGTTGCTGTGAGTTAGGCTGATGCCATGGCACTCACTCTAGCCTGGGCAACAAAGTGATACTCTGTCTCAAAAAAAAAAAAAAAAAAAGTGGTAGCAGATGCAAAAATAAATAAATAAATGTTAAAAATAATAATAATAAAAAATGGAAAATAGTGAAACAGCCCTTTACCTTGCTCATCAAGAAGTTTCTTTGTAAGATCTTCAGCTTCGTCTCCACCTTCTAGTTCTAAGGTGTCGTCATTAATTTCTAGATTCTCCAACTCAAGTTCCAAATCATCAGGACTTGATACCTCCTTATTATCCTTAGGTTCTTTTGCCTCTGTTTAAAAAACAAACAAGTACATCTGAATTAGGTCATATTGAAATCCTGCTGCAAAAAAGTAGATAAGGATTCACGAAATCCGCATCACTTGTTTTAGAACCTGTATGCATGCCTGGCAAACAAATTTGAGTGAAAATTAATATATTCAGATGTTATAAAGTACATTATGAGAACAAATACCACAACTTCTTTGACTCTGTATGCCATTTGTTCACTGAACAGATGGATGGATGGAAGAAGACTTACATGGCACAAGATGAGAAGAAATAAGGTTGATTAGGTAAAGTGGACTCAGATTAAGAAGCACCTCAAACTCCAAGCTGAGGAATTCAGACTTTCTTCTTTATGCTGGGTCATGAGCAAGAGATTACATTTAAATGTGATTTGATATGAAAATTAACTTAGCAGCAATATGTAAGACAAATCAGACAGGAAGGAGTAGATATAGAAAGACCAATGAAGAAAAAAAAATAACCTTATAATTTAGATGTCAGAGGTTTAAATCTTTGTTCAACAAGATTGGCAAAATGTTAATAATTGTTGAAGCTGGGTGATAGTGTGAGTTCATTTTACTATCTTCACTTATATGTTTGAAAATTTTCTTAAGTAAAAAGCAAAACAATAAAACCGGAGTTCAAGAATTTATGCTTAAATTCAAACTATGGTATTTCTCAGCTTCATCTTGTGTTCTTTAGTCTCCTAGTTTCTGCATCGATGCCATACCATATTTGGGAGAATGAAAGCTCTAACCCGTATTGGTTTCACTGCCTCTAAGTGAAGAGGGACTACAATTTACTCATCCATTCATTTTTGCATCTGACTAATGTTTACTGAATTCCTACTACATGCTAGGTACTGTTCTAAGAACAAGGGATATGACAGTGACCATAGCAGACAAAACCCTGCCCACATGGAGCATATTCTCACCCTGCAGTGTTCCCTGATGCCTATCAAAAAAAAGCATTTTTCTGATTAGCTACTGCACCATTCAGAACTATGCTGAACTGCTGAATATTCAGAAAAAAAGCTTAAAATGATATCCTTGCTCTCAAGTAATATATAATTTATCTGAGGAAATCAAACTAATATGCACGAGGGGGTTAAACTGGATATGGTGGGGAGAGGGTTCCAAGCAGAACACAGAACAATGTAGGAAGGCCACTAGGCAAAAGACTTCAAAGACTGAAAATGCTTTAACCCTTTGCACTTCATGTAGAGTGTGGATAAAGTCGAGTGGATAATGAGAAAAAAGCAAGCGAGTGCAAAGGGTTAATTTAATGATCTCAAAGCTTTTGATTTCTATAAAGTAACTCTTCCTCACAAAGAGCTGGCTATATCTAGCCTGGAAAGGACGTTACAGATAGACACCACCATAAAGCTGACACTTTCTCTAATAATCTCAATAGGAAAATTCATGTCTTACAGAGACCTCACATGAATTATAAGATATTATAAATAATCACCTTCAAATTAATTCACATTAACTTAAACATAGAAGCACTGTTAAAAGTATGTCAATTATCACCCTTTCATGCTCCATTCCATATTATTCTGTCATTCATTTAATCTAAAGACCCAATGTTCACATTACAAAACAAGCAACTAAAACTTTTTTCATTAAAAATCCTACTTTGAAGCTAAGTTTTGTAGCACTTAATGTAAATGTTTTTTCCTCTAGAATTTACCTTTGGAATCATCTTTGTTGGACTCTTTATTCTGACAACTTTTTTCATTGTCTTTAAACAAGATGGCCGGAACAAAAGCCTTCAAATCAACGAGGTTCTCGTAAAAATTCCGAGCATCTTCATCTTCCCATATACCACCTTCCAAATCATATTCTCCAGGTTTACCAGGTGTAAATATATCGATTCCAGGCCCATGCTCTACAATAAAATAATTAACAGGTAATTTAACACCATTTTAGATATCACATGCTAAACATGACAGTATAAAGATATTTTATAGCTATTGAATCTTGAGTATTTCAAATGACAGGTGCTTCTTCAATCAAAAAACACTTGAGCCGGGCGCGGTGGCTCACGCCTGTAATCCTAGCTCTTGGGAGGCTGAGGCGGGCGGATTGCTCAAGGTCAGGAGTTCAAAACCAGCCTGAGCAAGAGCGAGACCCCGTCTCTACTATAAATACAAAGAAATTAATTGGCCAACTGATATATATATAAAAAATTAGCCGGGCATGGTGGCGCATGCCTGTAGTCCCAGCTACTTGGGAGGCTGAGGCAGAAGGATCGCTTGAGCCCAGGAGTTTGAGGTTGCTGTGAGCTAGGCTGATGCCACAAAAAAAAAAAAAAAAAACACTTGAGACTATATATATAACCACCTCTAACATCAACTCACAAATTGTAAGTTTCTTTTTTTTTTTTGGACAGAGTCTCATTCTGTTGCCTTGGCTAGAGTGCAATGGTGTCATCATACCTCACTGCAGCCTCCAACTCTTAGGCTCAAGTGATCCTCCTGCCTCCGCCTCCAGAGTAGCTGTGACTATAGCTGGGATTACCACACCCAGCTAAGTTTTCTATTTTTTATAGAGACAGGGTCTGGCTCTTGCTCAGGCTTGTCTAGAATTCCTGACCTTAAGCAATCCTCCTGCCTCAGCCTCCCAGAGTATTAGGATTACAGGCGTGAGCCACTGCACTCAATCACAAATTGTGTTTTAAGTAAAGCTCTAAACCAGAAGAGACCAGAGGACAGCACAGAATTAATGTGTTTTTCTCTTCAATTTAAGCAGTTAGTATGACATTAAGTAGCCATCTGATATATCATTAATAGGTCTATCTTCATGAAACTTAAAATAAAAAAAAACAAATATATAAGCCTGACCATTCCTAAGACATCTAATTTAAAAAGTCCCACCTTCTCCAAGAAGTTTTTTTTTTTATTACTCACAACCTTCTGTACCATTTATACCACACTTCTATATCACTTTTATCTTCACAAATAAACATAAATCCTTAAGAAGCATTTCTCCTTTTGGTATAATCCTTGGTGCATGGTAGACTGCCACTATAAACCTAAAATAATCAAAAGGGCTAAAATCTATTTTAAAGAGAATTTATTCAAGCATAAAGTTCGAGGATGACAGCCCACAAAATATGACTGCAAAGAATGCAAGTCAGTGTTCCGAAGTATAGAAGTTTGGGACCCTTTATACAATGTTTAGGGAAGCGTAACAGAATCTCAACATATTTCTATATATGCTTAATACATAGTTACAATGTTCTGATTAGTCAAGGTCTTTTTCTTTTAGAAAAAGTATATTTAAAATTCCACATTGAAGATGTAACAGTCACAATGTCTTTTGTGCCATCTCATCGAAGTCAGGCACAGGACAAAAAAGAAAGCAGTTAATCTATAACAAAGACCAATCATTGGGAAAGAGGTAGGTCTGGTTTTACTAATTTACAGAACTAGAACAATGAGGAAGAGAGATCACCTATAATCTAAGAGGCAAAAGTTGTAAACATTCTATGTGACTCAGTCTCTAGGGCTTAACGTCCTCCTTGATATAATAACTTTAAAGGGTCTTAAAAATTTGTTTTCTTTTACACCATAAATGTTAGTCAATTGATAAATAATTGGAAAAGAAGGGAATATGGAGAAATACATAGATTACCTAAGAGAGGGTGGAAAAAACTACATATTTACGCATGCACACACACTCTCTGCATACAACTACAGATTCATAAACTCAGAACAATGAAAGCAATTTCCTACTTCAAGATGAGACCATTAATGAACCTATCCATACTGTACTTCTCTCCAAACGAGAATTATAAATAGGAAAAAGAGGCCAGGTGTAGTGGCTCACACCTGTAATTCCAGCACTTCGGCAAGCTGAGGCAGGAGGACCAATTGAGACCAGGAATTCGAGGCTACCGTGAACTATGACCATACTTTATCCTAGATGACAGAGTGAGACCTTGTCTCAATCTATCAATCAATCGGAAAATGATCATGTAAAGTAAAACTAATCCTAAAATAAGTTAAGAATATTCATTACATGTCATTTAAGAAAATAAGGGCTGGGTGCAGTGGCTCACGCCTGTAATCCTAGCTCAAGGTCAGGAGTCGAAACCAGCCTGAGCAAGAGTGAGACCCCGTCTCTACTAAAAATAGAAAGAAATTAATTGGACAACTAAATATATATAGAAAAAATTAGCCGGGCATGGTGGTGCCATGCTGGTAATCCCAGCTACTCAGGAGGCTGAGGCAGAAGGATTGCTTTAGCCCAGGAATGTGAGGTTGCTGTGAGCTAGGCTGATGCCACAGCACTCTAGCCCAGGCAACAGAGTGAGACTCTGTCTCAAAAAAAAAAAAAAGAAAGGAAAGGGAAAGGGAAGGGGGAAGGGGGAAAGGGGAAAAGGGAAAAGGGGAAGGGGAAGGGGAAAGGAAAGAGAAAAGAAAAGAAAAGAAAAGAAAAGAAAAGAAAAGAAAAGAAAAGAAAAGAAAAGAAAAGAAAAGAAAAGAAAAGGGAAGGGGGAAGGGGGAAAGGGGAAAAGGGAAAAGGGGAAGGGGAAGGGGAAAAGAAAAGAAAAGAAAAGAAAAGAAAAGGCCAGGTGTGGTGGCTCACGCCTGTAATTCTAGAACTCTGGGAGGCTGAGGCGGGAGGATTGCTTGAGGCCAGGAGTTCAACGCCAGCCTGAGCAAGAGTGAGACCCTATCTCTACAAAAATAAATAAATAAATAAAAAGAAATCAGCCGGACAACTAAAAATATATAGAAAAAATTAGCTGGGCATAGTGGAGCATGCCTGTAGTCCCAGCTACTTGAGAGGCTGAGGCAGAAGGATCACTTGAGCCCAGGAGTTCAAGATTGCTGGAAGCTAGGCCAATGCTATGGTACTCTAGCCTGGGCAACAGAGCAAGATTCTGCCTTAAAAAAAAAAAAAAAACCTAAATCAATACCAAAGTATTCTAAATACTATGAAAAGATTTTGGTTCAAAAATATCATAATAAATATACTGAAAAAGTTCTGAAAAACCGGACAGATTCAACCAAAACACAAAATTCTGATGAAACTTCTTTTAACAAATTAAAAATTTCAGATTCATTAATTTTTGAAACATAAAAATTAGTATGAATTATTTACATCATATATAATTATAATAAAACAAATGCATTCCCAGTGCACAAAAGATATTTCTTATTAGGGCTATAAACTGCAAAATTTTTCCTATTATAAAAAGGATATTTTATAAATACTTCACTCTTAAAAGTTTTAAGTAAATAAGACTGCCAGACATTTTCACTGTTAAGATTTGTTAACACTCATCTACCTAACATAAACTTAATTATTTTATCAAAGTCGGTGTGATGTGGTAGGAGTAATATACTAAGACAATCAACTGAAAGATAATCAAAAAGGAAGCTTAAAATACCTTTCAGAAGTAATATGGAAAAAACTCAGCTCACAAAACAATTGACCTCAAAGAACGCAAGATAAGCTTCAGTTCTAAGTAACATTTTAATATATCATTAAATCTGTCTCTAGGACTCCTTATAAAAAATATATATGTATATCCTTCAAAACAAAATGATTAAAAATTAGAATAAATACAGAAATATTAGAATCCCAAAAATCCAATACATGGTCTCATTATCACCTATAATCTAAGAGAGTGAGAAAGTGAATCTTTCTGAATTCTATCAGATTCAGATCTATCAGATTCAGAAAGTGAATCTTTCTGAATTCTATCTGAGAAAGTGAATCTTTCTGTAACTCAAGCATGGTTTAAGACAGGTCCCTGCTGGATATAATCTGAGGATATCTATTACACAAGGACCTCAAGGAACTCATCATCAAATGAGTTAATTATTATCCTCTAAGAACCATACCTTTTCCATTCAGGTATCATTTCAAGTAGCTTTTTAAGGTTATCATTAAGTCTTAATACCATTTTTTCATTTAAAAATTTTTGAAGCCATTTTAAAACTTAAATCTCAAGACTACACATCTGACAAGCCTGAAGGTAAATGACAGCGCTTATAAAAAAAAAAAATCACAAGGCTTGTTTTAAGGATATCTTACCTTCTGGTGTTGGTTTGTCTTGAGGAAGATCTGGCATATTTTCATCCAAAAGGTCTGCTAAAGATTGAGAATTTGCCAGCAGCTTCTGATAAGACATAGCAAATTCCTCATATTGTTTATGTCTATCTTCACTTAGCTCCCCTTTAGAATGCAGAATACGCCTATAAACAAATGATGAAATAATCTGACAATCTCATCAAAATAAATGTACTTACATAGTTATATGAGAAATGTTTGACAAAATTTGATTTTATCAAAGTTAGCACAATCTTCTTTGCCAACTTATTTTTACCTAACATTTCCAAGAAGTATCTGAAAATTAAAATATGTATAATCAAATTCACCTAAGCAATTACATTTTAATACTAGTTCAAGCAATATGAAGTAAGCCTGCAGAAATACCATATTTAACAATATATACTACTAAATAACGTAAAATTATCTAGTATTTTGTTACAGTCACTCTTCTCAGACATACAGTTAACCAAAAAAATTTAACACAACTATAGAAGTCAGTTTTCAAAAGCAACAGACTATGGAATCAGTTGTGATTCTATACATAATTGAATCAGAAATGTCATATTTAACATTTGAATCAAAAATGCCATATTTAACACAATTACACATCAGTTTTCAAAAACAACGGGTTTTGTACAGGTTCAAAAACAACAGAATTGTTTATCCTTAAACTTCTGTAATGATCTGAACCAAGATTATCTTTTGAAAAAGCCCACATCTTCCACATAGCCAATTCTCAACCTACTGTGCAAGGACTGGTTATTTACCCACTTGACAAATATTAACGAAGCAACCCAATCACTCAGCCCCTCTGGAGGAACAAAGGATGTAACTACTCTTCCTCTTTGCAACAGGACACCAATAAGACACCCATAATTAATTACACATGCAGAACAATTGGCAAATACAATGTATAAAGTCAAATAAAAAATAAAAGTCTTACTATATTGGTGTAAACAGTTGAAGACTCATATAGCTGGATCCAATTTTTCCTATACTATTCATGTAGTAATGTAATTTTGAAATATATGAACCACAATGCAAATAAAATACAGTTTTCAGAAAGTCAAATTATAAATTATTTTCAAAAGTAATACCTAGAAGTTTTTTATTCCTTGTCATTTAAGTTTTCTTATGAGCAGTGAAGGAAAGGTTTTATCGTGATATTTTTTTTTTTTGAGACAGAGTCTCACTTTGTTGCCCAGGCTAGAGTGAGTGCCGTGGTGTCAGCCTAGCTCACAGCAACCTCAATCTCCTGGGCTCAAGCAATCCTGCTGCCTCAGCCTCCCGAGTAGCTGGGACTACAGGCACGCACCACCATACCCGGCTAATTTTTTCTATTTATATTAGTTGGCCAATTAATTTCTTTCTATTTATAGTAGAGATGGTCTCACTCTTGCTCAGGCTGGTTTCGAACTCCTGACCTTGAGCAATCTGCCTGCCTCCGCCTCCCAGAGTGGTAGGATTACAGGCATGAGCCACTGCGCTGGGCCCGTGATATCTTCTTAAGAGTTATAGAAAACAAGGTAGAAAAAAAATCATGCCTCAACTTATTCTTCCCAGCTTATCTGAAACAACGTCCAAACTTTCCTACCCACCTGAGCTTTTGCTTAAATACTGTAACAATCAAATATCTTCATTTTAGAATTATCAGTTTCCATTATAAGCCCATCAATAGATAGATTCATTAAATCCAATCTCCTCCTCCCCCAAAATCTGGCCTATTAGGGTCAAAAATGACAAATGTGAACTCGTTTTCTTATGATTTAAATATATATTAGGCAACATTATCCTACTAACACATTTTTTTTTGAGACAGGGTCTCCCTCTGTCACCTGGGCTAGAGTGCAGTGGCGTCATCATAGCTCACTGAAACCTCAATTCTGGGCTCAAGTGATTCTCCTGCCTCAGCCTCTCAAGTAGCTGGAACTACAGGCAACAGTCCCTGCAGCCAGCCTCTAATCATTATCTTAAACACAGCACTTGGTAAGCAGGACAGGATATCAATGAAAAAAATTATGAGTTCTGGTATATACGGAACTTACATATGTAGTCATACATCTTTTCCTTGACCATCTATTTAATATACATTTACTTAACATGTGACTAAATCCAGAGCACAAAGCAAAAACACACCCATCATAGGTGCCTGAACATTCAAAAACACAAGAATCATTTAGAAATTCGAATGAAATTAAAAGGAAACATTTTCTAATGTACATGACACGCACATCAGGTTTTTTAACGTGATGAAGCTCATAGGAAATGATTTTCAGTTTAATTAAGTTTTTTAGATAACCTGTGTAAAGAACTGAACATCACACAGCACATTTGACCAAAGAATAACTTCTTTACATCAGTGTTATAAAAAAAAAATCTCACCGGAATTTATATGAATTTCATGGGAATATACACTGAAAATATAAGTAAAACCAAGTTGAAATTATGATTCATCACATATCATTTTAATTACCTCCCTTTTAGAAACACATCTATGACATTAAGTTGAACTGAAACCATTCTTTTGAGATTGCCATAAATCAGAGGTAAACAAACTTTTTCTGTAAAGGGCCAGACATTAAATATTTTAGGCTTTGCAGACCAGATGGTCTTTGTCAAAAGTACTCAACCCTGCTAATAAAGCACAAAAGGGCCATAGATAGTATCCCAACAAATGAGTGTGACTGTTACAATAAAACTTTATTTATGGACACAAATTTTATATAATTTTTGTGTTTCACAAAATATTATTATACTTTTGACTTTTTTCAACCATTTAAAAAGGTAAAAACTGGCCAGTCGCGGTGGCTCACTCCTGTAATCCTACCACTCTGGGAGGCCGAGGTGGGCAGATTGCTCGAGGTCAGGAGTTCGAAACCAGCCTGAGCAAGAGCGAGACCCCGTCTCTACTATAAATAGAAAGAAATTAATTGGTCAACTAATAAATATAGAAAAAATTAGCCAGGCATGGTGGCACATGCCTAGAGTCCCAGCTACTCGGGAGGCTGAGGCAACAGGACTGCTTGAGCCCAGGAGTTTGAGGTTGCTATGAGCTAGGCTGACACCACGGCATTCACTCTAGCATGGGCAACAAAGCGAGACTCTGTCTCAAAATATAAAAAATAAATAAAAATAAAAAGGTAAAAACCATTCTTAGGTCACAGACGATACAAAAACTAGTTACAGGCTTAATCTGGCCCAAAGGCCACGGTTTGCCAATCCCTGACAAAATTGGAGTTAACCAAATCAGTATCATCACTCCAAATGTTTTAAAAGCTAGTTGATTCCCTCTCAGGGTATCACTGCATAATACAGAGGTACAGGTACCCTTTTACAGATGTGAAAAGCAAGCAATGAGAACAAAATCAATGCCATGTCTTATGCATTATAATAAAAATACAAAAAGAGTAGGCCTCCTTCATCCAATATATATGAGGCATCACTGTCTAGAAGCATCCCTTAGGTACATCAATCCTCAATTTGAGGAATGTTAATACTAATCTAATAGGGTACAACTGACAAAGACACAAAGAGAAAGTCTCATTCAAAAGTCTTTCAGAAAGATTAAGTAGGCAATATATTAATAATAGCTATTTATTATAACATTTACTAAACATGATATGCCAGATACTGTTATATTAAGTGCTTTTACACATATAAATTCACTACATGATTCACATTTACCTCAGAAGTAGCATATTATTGTTATCCCCATTTTACAGATGGAAAAACTGAAAGCACAGAGATGATAGGTAATTTGCCTAAGATTACAGAATGAGTAAATGACAGATCTAAGATTTGAACCCACATATTTGGCTCTAGAGTCATTACTCTTAAATACTGTAATATGCTGCCTCTCTAATTAAAATTATCTACTTTGTACTTTATATTGAAATTAGAATATTTTTCAAATGCTCCCCCCCAAGGCAAGCCTTCCCAGATCAGATGGAGGTACTTATCTTACATCTTCTTTGGGGTCCCTCTCTCTTGTTTGGATTTGACTTGGTAAGTACTAAGTGGTTAACATGTACTAGACATTTTAAACACAAGTAAAAGTACTAATTGCAGATACTGATGGGTACTATTTAATTGGAAAGTACAGTATGAAGAGGAAAAAAAGAACCTGAGTCTGTCACAGGCTATCCACATTACACTTGGGAAAGCCCTTTAATCTCTGTATCTGTTCTAGCACCTTCAAAATTTAGGTACTTCTTTGAGGGGTACTGTGAGGTTCAATTAAGATCACATATGCAATACATTACATTAATGTACAACGGTATTTTTGTAAGGAAAAAAACTGCCAAAGCCCACTGCAGAAAAGGCCAAAATTTCAATGTCGACAACTTCTGTTAATCTTCTAATTAGCCAAATTAAAAAGGAAAACAATATTGATAAGAACACAGAACATTTGTTTTAACTTTGACCTTCTGTAGTCATACAAAATAACATAGAACATATGGCCAAAATCTTAAAAAAAAAAATGAAGCAAACCCAAGAAAAACTACTAGGTTTTATTTTTCCCCTCCTTCAGCACTATCAAATTTTCATAAAAATTTGCCTTAGAATTATCTTAAATTTTCTTTTGGTTCCATTTTAGAATTATGGATGTCTCAATCTTGTGAAAAAATACTAGAACATAGAGAACCAAAACTGTACCCATGCAAATATTTACAAATCATTTAAAGAGGCCAGCACAGTGGCCCATGCTTGTAAACCTAGTACTCTGGGAGGCCTTAGGCAGGAGGATCACTTGAGGCCACCAGTTTGAGACCAGCCTGGGCAACATAGCAACACCCTCGTCTCTACAAAAATTTTTTAAAAAATTTAGGCAGTCATGGTGGTGCAAACATGTAGTCCCAGCCACTCAGGAGGCGGAAGCAAGAGGATTATCTGAGCCCAGGAGTTGGAGGTTACAGTGAGCTATGAAGACACCACTGCACTCTTGCCTGGGTAAGAGCTTTATCTTGGGGGTTTCCAGGAGGTCATTTAAAGAGAATTAGAGAATACCTAGGAGGTAATGATTTTAGAGCTCTTATAACTTTAGAGCCTCCTTAAATCTAAAGTACAAGGAAATTAACATATTAATAGTCCTTAAATACTACCAATTGATCAAACAACCTACTGGTAGGGCAAGATACAACTC